TAGTCAGTAAAGGTAGAGTCTAGCTTGATGGTGTAATTTCCATTTCTATGTTCTCGCTGGATCCTTAAAACTACAAGAGATCCACCCCACCCACTAACTTGACCTTCAAGCTTAGCCCTCAGAGTGTCCTCACTAGTGTATTCTCCAGAAAGTTTCCTCAAGACCATCACTCGAGTCTGCCACAGTTTCCTTTCTAGTCTTGAATACTTTTCCTCTTTACATTTCATGGCTATTCTAAGGTAAACAGAGAGAACATCACACAGTAAATGTTTTTTGGAACATTTTTTTCAGGATAAAAAAGAATTTCAAATATCTCCATGGAAGCATAAGTTTAGTCGGATGCAAGGTATGTATGACTATAGAATAGTCTTCATTCATTTGGAGATGGGGCAAAAACAGAGAAGGGGTGAATGGTGCAAGCATGTCTTCAGACCTCAGATATTCCAATGCCATAATAATCTCTCATGAGTTATCTGTGTTTATCAACATTGATATATTGTCTTATAACTTGTTTCTTATGTGACTAAGGCAAGTTGGCACATATTCACACATGCTCTAGAACAATAGATTGATGTCCATTTCACACGTGAAAGGGAAATAAGTTTGTTAGACTCAGAACAGGTCAAGAGGGCACTGTTCTTCACTGCAAAGGTATATTCAGAGTTCTTAAATACATATAATACTCTCATGCTCTGAGTTGTGGTAAAGCAAAACAAGGTGGTTTGATGGTGATAGGACTGGCCACACTCCTGAAGTAGAGGAATGAGAATATTATCATTACTGACATTTTAGTATCATGTGTCTTCACCCAAACATTTCAAGTCACTGTCAGGTTTAGGGCCAGTGGCTCATGTATCTATGAAATGTGATAATGGGAAGGGAAAGAGGACAGAAAGGAAGCTAACAACTGTTGAGTATTTAAACACTGAGTGTTGTTCTAGATGCTGTCCCATTACACATCTGCAACAACACCATGGAGTTACATTTGAATGGCTTACCGGCTATGGAGCTATGGTCTAGCTAGTCCAATACAATGACCGTATACCAACTGGAAAGTCTGAGAATTCTATACTTGTTCAGTCCATGAGGCTGGATGTCTCAGGCAGTCCTCAGTATATGCCAGAACCCCAAAGACGTAGGCTCTAACACCAGTGAAGGAATGGACTTGCCATCAAGAGTGAGGACATTCAGGCAAAAAGCAAAAGCTTCCTTCTTCCATGTCCTTTATAGAAGCTGCCGGCAGAAGGTGTGGTCCAGATTAAAGGTGGATGTTCCCACCTCAGAGATCCAGATTAGAAGTGGGTCTTCCCACTCCAAATGATTTAATTAAGAAAAAAATCCCTCAACAGGCATACTCTGCCGAGAGTTTTAGTTAATTCCAGGCATAGTCCAGTTGAAAACCAAGAATAGCTATGATACAGTTTTAAGTTATTTATAGCTAATATTTTAGATTTGAGCAACTAACACTAATATAGGAGTATGTGGTTAGCCCTGACGTATGAAAAACCATCTTCAACTATTCACGGCACTAAAGTCAAAACTTCATGACTGTCAGCATGGTCATGATTTCTGTCAAATTCATTTTGAATGCTAGTAATTCAGTAAGGCTAAAATCATTGACTTCATGCTAGCACTTAAATTTAGCGTCAGGGGGACTGCTTTGTTATATTCTATACTTTTACTTATGATGCAGCTCCTAGTTTAGGTTATACTTTCTACGAGTATCCAGCTACAATTCAGAATGTAAGAAATTATGTTCCTCCTGAGACAAAATTTAAATAAGAATATAAACCCTCTTAAACTGTCTTACCATGGGAAACTGAGAACAGTTAGTTATCTTATTTCACAGACACTAAGACTCCATTAATTTGATAATATGCCATTTTAACATATCTGTGAGAATAAACACTTTTAATGTGAAATAAGGGGTGGCTGGTTAAATCTGAATTCCAGACAATGGATGACATGGTACCTGGAAAAGTAGCTTTTTGTTTGTGTATCTATACATTGACAACTCACCCTCTACTTGCAGAGTCTGTATTTGCAAATTTGCCTATTCACGATCAGTACTTAAACAAGAGTGGCTTTTTTTGTACAAAACACCCATTGTATTGCTTGGTACACACATTCCCAGCTAGGTTGAGACAAGGTATTGCTCTCCCTTATTGCTGTAGTTCCTACACTATCCATGTGTCATCATGTTCTAGTTGGCTTTCTGTTGTTATGATAAACACAGGCAATTTAGGAGGAAGGAGTTATTTTCATTTATACTTCCAAGTCATAGTCCATTGAAAGAAGTCAAGGCAGGAACTCAAGTAGAAACTAAAGCAGAAACCATGGAGGAATGCTGCTTTCTTGATTACTCACTAGCTCATGCTCATCCAGCCTTCTTATACAGCACACCACCTGTGCTACTCACAACAAGCCAGTAGGCCAGGCTTTCCTACATCAGCCATCAATCAAGATACTCTCTCACATGGGTACAGTAAGTCTGTTCTGGAAATACATTTTCAAAAACAAATAAACAAAGAACAAGAACAAAATAAACAAACAAAATAAAACACCACCACTACCACCACCACTCCAAACAACAACAAAAGTAACCAGGATCCATCATCTTGTGTTTTGGGACTTTCTGCTGGTGATTTTTCTTTTCCAAGTGATCCTCTAATAAGAATGCTGGAATGCTATGTAGCATTTTTTTGGGTGAAAGAAGGCTATGATGGAGAAAATGTATGTGTTAGTTAGGTCAGCATTGTTCAGGCTTGAGTAAGAGCATTATGATTGCTGTTCTCCATGAGCTCAACTTAATGAATCAACAATATGTACTAAAGACCATGTCTTTGTTCAGAAATACAGATAAAGCAAGGCCACAGACTCATCAGCTGTTGAGAATGTCATGAGCAGAAATTCCCAGGAGTTTAGCCTCATATCACTTGCTTATTCAGTATTCATGGTAATTATATAGAGAGTAACCCCAGGGAATAATGACAAAGTGGCTATACCTCAAATGATATAAAGGTTATGTGCATTGCCTGTGTCATCATATCTACCAACTCGATGTGTATAGCTCTGCACAGAGAGCCTCACTGGCTCTTGCTCTCCGCGCTTTCCAATCACAAATGCAATCATGGTTTTCTGCTCAGAATTTGTGCTAGTTATCTTTCATTGCTGTGATGACCAAAGACAACCTCAGGAAGAGAGAGTTCATTTGGGCTTCTAGTTATGGAAGGAGAGTCCATAGTGGTGGTGGAGGAATGGCAGCAGACAGCTAGAGCAGGGAGCTGAGAGGTCCCATTTTCAACCAGAGAGGGCAAACTGGATCTGGGTTGAGGCTGCCGTACACTCTCAGTGCCTGCCCTCAGTGACATAATTCCTCCAGCAACACTTGCCATTCCTAAAAGTTCCATAACCTTGCCAAACAGTGCAACCAACTGGGGACCAAGCTCAAATCCATCCATGAGCTCATGGGGGTCATTTCTCATTTGCACCACCACAGTCTTCAAGGCTCTTATATTCTTTCCAGTTTTTGCTTCCTTTTCTCCCACCTCAGGGTTTCTCAACAGGGATTTCTGAATACCCTGAGTTCCTCCTTTCTGCCTCCTGCTCACTGCTCCTGGACACTAGCTTCAGCCTCAGCCAGGCAGTTCTTCCTTGTTGCTGAGAATGCAGTTCAGTGTTGTCTCCTTGGCCAGTTACTCATGAAATTCCAGAATGAACCAGATCCATTTGTGAATGTGGAAATAGTAATTTGACCTTTAACTTGCTGATGCTTGTTTTTTTCTTTTCCCCCCTTTTTTGTCTTCTTATTTTCAGATAAATGTGAGGGATTTTGCACCCCATCATCCAACTGTAGCCAGAGCTGTCCTTGGGATTTCCGTGGAGAAATAGTATTCACATGTAATCAAGACAAATGGCAAAAAACAATTGAAACATGCACAAGTCTCTCTGTGGACACCCTGTTTCAGGTGACACTCTGGTACACTCCTAGTGACAGGAGCTAACTCTCCCTGAGGTGTGTGTGTGTGTGTGTGTGTGTGTGTGTGTGTGTGTGTGTGTGTTGATGGCTGGCGGCACTACCATTCTGATTTGTTTTAAAAAGCAGTAAGTCTCAGGCTTAGACTTGGGGGAAGCTGCCCAGTGGCTTGCATCATGGCTGCCTTTCCTTACCACTCACTGATGTATTTGCCTTTTTCCTTATTCTCTCTCTCTTCCTCTCAATAAAGATCAGTTCCAGGCTTGGGTGGGGAGTCCAGCTGAGAAATAGAGATTGTGCCAACTATCACTTTAGAAACGAATGATTAAATAAATCAAGTAAACGTTACTTAAACTACATGCAAATGGTGGTTTAGAATTTTCAGCTTAGCTTCATGGGTGGATTTGTATGCCCCTTGTGTTAGTCAACTAGATGTGTCTTAAATTAAATGTGACTTCTTTTCTAATTCTTTCGATCCTTTAACTAAAATAGAGAGCATCTAGAAGGAATAAGAATTCAGTGGTCCCTACATGTCTCAATTACAAGAAAAATCTATCTCATATACTTCTACTGCATACCCACTTCTTTCTATTTCCCTCCAACCCCACCGAAGGACATGGATCTCCACATTTTTGTGCTTTACAGAGGCTTTATAAAGGGATTACAGATGATGTTGCTTTTATAGCCCAGGTAATCATGGCAAAGTCCCTGTAACTACAGTGAGAGGCACAAGAGAACAGAAGTGTTTGCTTATTCAAAGTCACTTTCTGAGGGGGTATAGGTAAAAAAAAATAGCAGGAAATGATCAATAACTTACAGTTGGAAAAATGTACATTGTTTTTGAAATTGTGATTCTTTAGTATGTGGCATTTGAACAGCTAACCTCCCCCAAACAATTCTTTGAAATTCCACTTGGATCTTCCTTCTTCCCGTTTCTGTAGAATTTGTCTTGTTGCAAATCTTGAAGGGCTGTGGAGAATGGTTCGGTGGATAAAGTTCTTGCTGTGCTAGTAAACATGAGGACATGCGATCAGAACCCAAGACCCCTGTAACAGCCATGTGTGCCCGTGCTGAGCAGCTCCCCGGTGCTAGCCGTTCAGCCAGCCTAGCCAAAACAGTGAGCTCCAGGCTCAGCGAGAGACATCATTAAGAAAAAAATGAAATAGAGAGCTCAGCTTTTAAGCAATCTTACTGCCAATTCATAGGCTTAGGCTTTGGTTTCCAGTACCCAGGTTGGATGGCCCACAACTGTCTCTAAGTTTAGCTCCAAAGAAATCCAACGTCCCCTTTTGACCTCCTAGGCATTTGCAGTTATGTGCACACAGACACATGCATGTATATATAATTAACAAAAAATACATCCTAAAAATAATAAAGTAGAGAGACTGATTGAGGGGGACACCCAACATTGACTCTTGATGTCCAAATGTGCATACACAGGTGAGGGCACCCTCCATCCTGTGACATGTATACACACGAACACACATACATGCTTATAACACACACACACACACACACACACACACACACACACACTTCAGTTCAAACCATTATTCTGAAAGTAAATTCTAGAAAGTGTCACTACTCTGATTTCTGGGAATTTTGGTGGTAAGGCCTCCTGTGACGGCCTTACATTATTTTCAGCTAGTGAACGCCTTCTAGAGCCACCTTGTCTGTCTGTTTTTTCCTGTGGAAGTTGTTTGTGGCTTAGTTCCTTTCCTCTAATGTATGTTTGTTTGTTTGTTTGTTTGTTTATTTATTTATTTATTTTATACAGGGCCCAAATACTGCAGCTAGTCTTTCTGTGGCATCGTCCTCTCTTTTTCCCATGAACTTAATTGGTAGCAAGGTACCACCAGTCTCTATTGGGAATATATTTCAAGGAATCCACAAGTACTGCCCCAAGGACTACGTCTGCATAGTTGATGCTGTGAAATCCTCTGAAGTTACATCTGGAAATATCGCATTCATAGTAGAGTTATTAAAAAATATTTCTGCAGGCTTGCAAACCTATAATGGACCACATGGTAATGTGACTCATGAGAAAATGAAGGTACTTAAACATTAATTTAATTAAACACGGACATGAGTTTTCTTAAATCTTGCTACTTTTAAGTTTCAAGTGTTCTTTTCTAGCAGCAGACATTTCTGTTCAGTTTTCTGTATTGACACATCCTTCTTTATGAAAGTTAGACTGTGAATACATAGTGACAGACTTACACCAGTCTACCCTAGTAGTTTACACAGTTTGACCCTACATTTTTAGAAGGAAGTTTGCATCACAACAGTAGTTAGTATCTGTGGGTTAAAAATGTTAAATGTGTTCCCTTAGGATGGGTCTTTTGGTTTCAGACGTTTTTGAGACAGGGTCTCATGTAGCCCAGGCTAGCTTCAAACATCCTATATAGCTGAGCAAGACTTTGTGCTTCTGATCCTCCTGCCTCCACATCCTTAGACCTGAGAGTCCAGATGTGCATCACCCCATGCAGTCTTTGCTGTATTGGGAAAGGAACTCGGGGCTTCATGTATGTTGGGAAAACAGTCTCCTAACTGAGATCTAGTCCAGCAAGGCGCAGATTGTTTTCTCAGAGGCTTTAGTGTGCTCATGAACACTGACATTTATTATTAAAGGGAGGGATATAAGGATATGGTATGTATAAAATATTTCTCAACCTTATCATGGAATACACAGATACTTTCTTCCATAAAACAATCTTTCACATTTTATGGAACTTGAGTTCAATATTCTGTATAGAGGATCTTCCTCTGATTCAAATATATATATATATATATTCATATATATATTCATATATATATATATGAAATGTACTTGTATATGTGTATATGTAATATATTTTCTTTTCAAAAGATTTATTTTTATGTGCATTGGTATTTTGCCTGTAGGTAGGTATCAAAATCAGATGAAATAATTATTAGATCTGTCCAAGTTTTGGATTTTAGAAATTGGCTTTTTTACACTAATGGGCTCGTTTCCATTGCAGAACTATGGGAAAATGGCCAACCACATCCTTAGCAAGACTGCCATTTCAAATTGGGCTTTCATTCCCAATAAAAATGCCAGCTCAGATTTGCTGGAGTCAGTGAACTCCTTTGCCAAGAAACTCCAAGTCCATAGTGAATCTGAGAGCATTGTCAATGAACTCTTCATTCAGACAAAAGGTGCTCGCATCTATCACAACACCTCCAAGAACAGCTTCAACCTCTCTATGCCTATGGACAAGGACACAGAAGATGTCTTAGTGCTGATAGAAATTCCCAGACACGCACTACACAAGCTGCCATCCAATGCCTCCCAAGCCATTGGCATAGCTTTTCCAACCTTGGGGGCCATTCTTAAAGAAGTCCATGGGCCAAATATGAATCTCTCAAAGCCCATAAATAGTCTGATACTGTCACTGGTTTTGCCAGAAGAGCTGAAAGAAATCATACTCATCTTTGAAAAGATCAATAAATCCCAGAGCACCAGCAGCCACTGTGTTGGCTGGCATTTGGAGAAGAGGCAGTGGGATGAGAGCCCGTGTAAAATGGTGTTGGATTCCACTGGCACAGTGAATTGCCACTGTAACTACAACAGAGCTGTGACGTCCTTCTCCATTCTCATGTCATCCAAACCTGTAAGGGACACGGTTCTGAGCTATATCACTTTCATTGGGATCAGTGTCTCCATCTTTAGCTTGGTGCTCTGCCTGGTTGTCGAAGCCGTGGTTTGGTCCCGGGTGGTTGTGACAGAGATATCATACATGCGCCATGTGTGCATTGTGAACATCGCGGTGTCCCTCCTGTCAGCGAACGTGTGGTTCATCATTGGCTCCAGTGCAAATGTTCAGGAGGACCACAAGTGGTGTGTGGCCGTGACATTTTTCAACCACTTTTTCTTCCTCTCCCTGTTCTTCTGGATGCTCTTCAAAGGGCTGCTCATAGTCTATGGGATACTGGTTGTTTTCCGAAGGATGATGAAGTCTCGGATGATGGCCATTGGCTTTGCCATTGGCTATGGGTGTCCCCTGGTGATTGCTGTCATTACAGTTTCTGTGACAGAGCCCGGGGAAGGCTACATCAGAAAAGATGCCTGCTGGCTTAATTGGAACCAAACCAAAGCCCTTTTGGCATTTGCCATCCCAGCCTTGGCCATTGTGGCTGTGAATCTCCTTGTGGTTCTGGCAGTTGCTATTAACACTCAGAGGCCTTTGATCGGCAGTTCAAAATCTCAGGATATGGCCATAGTTATCAGGATCAGTAAAAATGTTGCCATACTCACCCCGCTGCTGGGACTGACCTGGGGTTTTGGTCTAGTAACCTTGCTAGAAGGCACACACCTGGTCTTCCATATCATCTTTGCCTTGCTCAATGCTTTCCAGGTAAGTTCAATAGAGGGATTTGCTTTGTGCTTCTGGCTAGACACCAAAGGGGTGGCTGTGATTTATTTACCATAGGATACCAAGTGTTCTTTCTAGATTTCAGGGGTTTCTAAGTGTAGCATCGCCACTTAGATTGGTGTGTTTCTCCACTTAAAAATAGCTGTTTATTTATTGACTTGTTGTGTGAACACTCTGTGTCCATGTATGTGTGGGGTATATGCATGTCACGGGACATATGTGGAGGTCAGAGGACAACTTACAGCAGTGAGTTCTTTTTCTCTACCATGCAGACTAAACTCAGGTTATCAGCTTTGTGGCAAGGGCTTTCACCCATAGAGTCATCTCGCTTGGTCCCCTGCCCCCATTATTCAACAGAAAGTTTTGAGACAGGATCTCACTTTGTAGCCAGGGTGGCCTCAAACTTGTAGCTGTCTGCCTGTCTCAGGGAGTTGCTGTGCTTGACCACATATAAGGTTGGAGTCAGTTGACCATGCTGGTGGTAGGGGAATGTCCTTCTTTTTGTCTCAGTGACCCTGTGTCCTCCCTATCATGTCAGAAGTTAATCTTCTCACACTGATGACTGTCCTTTGGTCATGGATGTAAAAAGGTGCTCCTTGGTCAAAATAAGCGTAATGCTGTCCTCCTCTAGTGAACTCAGCAAAAATAGACATTTTCTGAAGTGCAGACAGAGGACCTTCACTTTGGAAGTCGACCAGCCAGGAATTCTTATCATTCTTTCTTGTCATTTCCTGTGAAATAAATGTTAGTTGCTACTTATATAAAGATCTCATCTTATGTTAGCTGGTCTTGGGAAGGTCGTTTTCTTCCATGTCTCAACCTTCTCATCTGGTAAAATAAGGATTTGGATGGGGCATGTATTTTCCCTCTCGAGCACGTATTCTCTGACAAGAGGTCCCCCTGAATCTTTCCTCTTGCTTCTAAGCTTGCATTTTGGGGATGTTATCATTTAATCAGATCACATTCTCTATCTATGAGTAATAGAAAACCTGGCAGGTTGATAGTCTTAATTACAGCTTTCCTCAGGGCTTGGAAAACTCAGTTCTGCTTGTTTTTGTAAATAGGGTTTTACTGGGACACAGCCATGCCTACTTGTTTGTGCTTTCCTTGTAGCTGACTTTGGGCTACAGTGACACATTTGAGCAGTTGCAGCAGAGCGATATAGCTGGCCAAGTGTGAATGTTTACTATCTGGTGTTTGGGAGAAAGTTTTCCAACTTTCACTTTAAATATTGTAACTATTCAATAAAATAGTAAAGCATTTCTATTGACCTGTCACTACTACTTAAGGCACTGCATGAAGTGTAAACTTAACATGGACTTTAAAGAAATGCCAGTTTAGATCATTTGAGTATCTTACTCATTCTTTTAGTAATTATGGTCTACGCCAGTTTCACCCTTCCTGTTAAATGGTTTTAAAGAGAAAACACTGACTTTAGCCTTTGTTTTCTTGAACTCAAAAGCTCTTGATATTTTACCTGCATGTATGTCTTTTTGTGCATACAGTGCCCAAGAAGGCCAGAAGAGGGCATTAGTTCTGGCCTGGATTGGAGTTACAAATAGTTGTGAGCTACCATGTGGGTGCTGGGAACTGAGCAGTGAGGGCTCTTAACTGCTGAGCCACCTCTCTGGACCCCTGTTCTGTTTTAAAGTTTTGAGAAAAGGTCTTACTCTTTAACCCAGGCTGGCTTTAAACTCATAGTGATTCTCTTGCTCCAGCCTCCTGAGTGTTGGGATTCAGGTGTGAGCCACCATATCTGGCTAATTTTCCCACTCTGGAAGTTACTCTATTGACTAATGACTTCATTCCCGTCTCCTTTCTTCTTTCCTTTCCTTTCCTCTCCTCTCTGCATTTCCTTCCCCTCCCTTCCTCTCCCCTCTCTTCTTCCCTTCCTCCTCTCTTCTCTTCTCTTCTCTTCTCTTCACCCCCCTTCCCTTCACTGGTCCCACTTCTCTTCTGGTGCTGGGAACCAAACCCAGGTTTTCATACGAGCTACACCAGTAGTTCTAGCCCTTGTCTTTTTTTTCCTCTCTTTGCAACTTAATTAAACCTTGGGAATCTTTTATATGCGTTTCTTCTTCAGAACATTTATATTTCTCTTTTATTGATAGAAAATGCTAAAAAACCTTTTAGTTATGCTAAATCCTCTTTTCTTAGCTAGTGTTCCCTGTGACTTACATTTAATATTTCATTGTCACTCGATCAGATTTTCTTCACAACAAGACTGTCTGCAGATAGAGAAAAGGTCCTCCCAGCTTCCAGGTCTTTGTAGTTTTCATTAAAAATTTGTTTTACCTTCTCAGAGTCCATGGTTGACTATTTACAAATGCTTATCCCAATTCAAAACAGGCCAGGCCACAAGTTTCATTTGCTTGTCCATCTTATTTTATTTATCTTAGAAATGGGTCTTGCTGAGCTACTCAGGCTTGTCTAGAACTCATTATAGACTTAATTGACCTTGAACTAGAGATCCTCCTACATCTGCCTCCCAAATGTTAGGAATACAGATCTGTGCCTCCATGCCAGGTTTTGCTAACTCCTGTTCATCTGTGTCAGTGGAAATGGATTTCTAATGTCTAGGTACTGTCCAGGGGTTATCCAGAGGACAGGATTAAAATAGCACTGGGATGCTGTTGGGGAAGCTACCCTAATGATTCTGTTGACTTTTACAACAGGGTTTTTTCATCCTGCTGTTTGGCACGATTATGGATCACAAGGTAACTTGAATTTGCTTCATTCATTGCCAGATAATTCCATGTGGCCTAGGGAAGCAGGAGGGTGAAATAGTTTTAACTGGGGTCTTGGGTTGATGAGCTTGTGAGCAGAACCCAGGGCCTCATCTGTGAGGAGGAAAAAGAGAATGCTATAGTCTCTGTGCTTGCTTATTGTCAAGACAAGCAGGATTTCAGGATGATATTGTTGGGAAATAGGAAAGAAACCATGGCTGCAATTTGAAAATAGCTCTGCGGATTGTTATTGTCACTCTTCAACTTTTATTCAAGTCTCATTGGTTTCTGGGTGTGATGCTGAACCACCTAATGTTGCACTGGCCAGACTCACTGGTCTTACAGGTCTAGGACACCTGTCTGGACTTTGGAATGCCGATGCTTCCACTGACATCTGTTGACCACTGACTGTCACTGCTTTTCAGATAAGGGATGCTCTGAGGATGAGGGTATCTTCATTGAAGGGGAAATCGAGGGCAGCAGAGGTAAGGTCCCTTCTTCTAGTGACACACTGGAGGGTCAGTGTCCTCATGCAGAGACGGGTGCCATAGTCCAGGACTAAGAATTTATATGTGTTAGCAAAATGAATCACTCTTTTTTATTATTATTTCACAAATACGGAGAATCAGCTGAAATGGAAAGCTAGCAGAAGAGACCTTTGAGGAATTTGCATGTGTATACATTGAAGCTTGCTATGGGGCCATTGAGATGAGCCCAGGAACAGAGGTTCATAAAAAGTGGGAATTAGAAATGAGTATTTAGTTTAACCCACTCATTTTACTGGTGAGGAGCTTAGCTGAGCATTAGTGGGATATGTGTGAGGGTTACCCATCTCATAAAAGTAGAATCATAGCCAGGAGGAAATGCCAAGCTTGCCTGCCCTCTCCATTTGGGACTCTTTCCAGTAGACCACACTTGTGTGGACTGGAGTAATTTTGTGTGTACTGACTATAAGCAAGACTTTGGAGTTGGACTGTTTTTGAAGGCACCGAGTGTCAAAATTTCTGAATCTGCTAAATTTTATTTGTTCAACAAGTTTATTCTTCCTCAGAGCTTTGGAAAGAAACTTTCTGGATGTATGGATAGCACTATCTGTGGCTACTTCCAAGCAGGGCTTTTAGTATCACAGTTTATCAATTTTAAGACAGGAATTTTCTTTTTCGGTTAACATTTCTTAAGTTGAAATGTACCATCTAACCAATTAATATATCATGTCTTAACTGACTGGTTTTGTGTCTTTATTTTAAAAAGCAAAACAAAGACAATGGATCACTCATAATGCTACATTTGTTGAAATACAGTAATTCTATTCTTTCTGGGTATATCAACTTGGATATTTCTCTTTATAGCTTCATTTTCACAGTGTTATCTTGAGGCAGTCTGCACACTAATCTATAAATATGCATAATTTTTGCCAATATCATTATTCATTGACAGCTCTGTTATTTTCACCCCATTTAGAAGGCATCCTTAAGTCCAGCCAATGGATCCAAAGTACTGAATCGCTGAGACTAAAATGTGAGTATTGAAAACTCAAGTAGAAACTCTACTTGCAAGTGTCATTGAGCCACTTGTGAGCCACTGAACCACTTGAGAGCATGCTGGTTGAGACGAGAGGTAATAGGATAGCAGGACTATCAGAGGAGGGACACTTCTCTATAGCTCAGTACAAAAGTGAAAACAGGGAAAATGCCCTTTGAGTTTCTATGACCAGACCTCAATGTTATGGCCTTGGAGAGGAGACCTCACTTGTGCTAATAATATGGTACACTGAGCCATCTGTCAAGCTTACACATCTTAGTTCCTTTTTAAAGTTTTTCTTTTCTCTATTAGTTAAATCTGTTATTTGACAGTTTTATATGTGTAAGCAATGAATACTGACCACTGTCAACTCCTACCTTCCTACCCCCCTGCCCACCTTCATTTGTCCCCATAAATTTCTCTCTCATGTTCATGTCTATTTGTTTTGTCCTCTGACCCACTAAATTCAACTAGAGCTGACTCTGACCATGGGTTTGGAGCTAATCTTTGGAACCTGGTGGGCTAGGCAGTGGGCACACAACTGAAGACAGTGATTCCCTCTCTTCCAGAATCTATTGATAGCCAGGAGTTCAGAGGCAAAGGGGAGGGGAACCCCTCCCCTTTGCATAACTGATTGTAGATAGGGCCTATCCAAGAGTAGGTGTCTACAGCCATTGTGAACTCATGATTGCAATGGACTGTCGAGACATCTAGATTGCAGAAAATGACACTTTAAAGACTTCTACTCCATCTTCCACATTGTAGTCCAAGCCTTAGAGATGGTGGTGTCCATGTCTTGTTGAGAGCTGAGCCCACTACTGTTGCTTGTTTTCTGCATCTGAGCTGTGAGTCTCTGTGTTCACTGCTGTTCATTGTTAAAGAAAGGCTTAGTTCCTTCTTGTGAATTAATTTTGGCACTTACAGTAACTCCACTGCTGAGACAAAAGCATTGATTGATTAAAGTCGCAGAACAACAGGCAGGCTTGCCTCTCCCCAGTGAAGTGGGTATGGGTGGACCTGTGGCAACTACCTGCTTATTCACAGTTGACCCCAGAGACATAGTTCTACACAGGTGAAACTGGGGGCAAGCAAATGTTAGGCGGTCACAAAGAGGTGACTAAATCATGAGACAGCAGTCAGAAACTGCGCCACTAGTAAAAGCAGGTGCAGGATAGACATGGTGGTATCAGACCTTGTTTCCATGGTCCTTTCATATGCACACAGCTGAATATGACCCTTTATTCCATCACCTGGCAGTGGCCATGACCACTTTTACATTTTGTTTTCTTTTTGAGTTATGGCTCAGGCAGAGTTTTGAAGCAATTTAGTGGAGGAAGCAAAGACACTGTGAGTTCGAAGAAATCTTGTAAAATTTCCTGCATTAAAAAAAAGTCCCTCAAACTTAATGTGTTGTTGTGAGACTTGGACACAGGGTCCCAGGAAAAGGGAGAGGGAGAGGGAAGAAGGGAAAAAGTCATCAATGCAGATTAACAGGTGTGGGGTACTGGGAAAGCAAAAGAAGGACCATGCTGTCATGCAATCTGGTCCAGTTTCAATTCTGCTGCCGTGATAAAATACACCAATAAGAACACAGTTTAGGGGAGAAGCAGTTGACTGTTTTACAGATTTAGGTTACAGTTCGTTATTGTGAGGAAGCCAAGGCAGGAGCTTAAAGACGCATATCCACAGTCGAGAGCAGAGACAGAAGCACATGGATGCTTGCTTGCCTGCTCTCAGCTGGCTTTCCCCCTTTTATGATGTTTAGGATCCGGTGCCTACGGAGTGCGGAAGTCCACAATGGACTGAGTATTCACACATCAATCAACAATCAAGACAGGCAATCTGGTCTAGATAACATCTCAGTAAGACTGTCTTCCCAGGAGATTGATTCTAGGTTATGTGGAGACTTGGCACACCTAGGTGAAACGAACCAGCTTTGTCTTAGTGTTTTATTGCTGTGAAGAAACATCAGGACCATGGCAACTCTTATAAAAGAGGCTGACTTTCAGTTAAGAGGCTTAGTCCATATCAGCATGGCAGCATGCAGGCAGGCATGATGTTGGAGAAGGAGTTTAGAGTTCTACATCTGGATCTGCAGGCATTGACTACCACACTGGGCATGGCTTAAGCATCTGAGACTTCAAAGCCCACCCTCTAGTGACACACCTCCTCCAACAAAGCCACATCTACTCCAACAAGGCCATACCTCCTAATAGTGCCACTCCCTATGGACCTATGGGGGCCATTTTTATTCACATTACCACAAGCATAGAGTCCTTAAGTGATGGCTCTCACATTTGGATTTAATATTAAAATGTTTAAAAAACTGACTTTTACTGGCCCTGGTCATTCCCTAGGCTGTGGGATTCACCCCCAGTAGAACAGTTTGTGGCTTGTCACTGATTCAGATAAACTACAAAAAAGAGAGCTGGTGAAAAAGGAGTATTGGTTGGGAAGATCAGCAGAAGTGGGAGAGGAGTGTCAGGTGTGGTGGTGCATGCATTTAGTCCCAGCACTCAGGAGGCAGAGGTAGTTGGATCTTTGTGAGTTCAAGGCCAGCCTGGTCTACATAGTGAGTTCCAGGCCAGCTAACACTATATAGTGAAACCGTGCCTCAAACAAATACATAAAAAACAAAAATGCTAAAACACAATAAAAAACCAGAAAACAAAATAAGATGTAGGAGAGGGACAGACAATGGTAAGTGGGGAGGGTTAGACATGACCAAAATATATCATATCCAAGTACAAAATGGCATAACGGAACCCATTGTGTGCAATTGATTTATCCTAATAGAAAATCAGAGCTGGCCTTTCTAGCAAGGACTCAGTTCCCAGTGACAGCCTTAGCTCATGTCACTGCCTTCTGGGGATACTTTATCCATCTGTTCTAGAGAGGAGGACCACAGGCGAGGTTGGTTGGTCTCCAGTTGGTTGGGCACACTTGGTCAGTTGTGGGAAAGGGGCAGATTAGGAGACAAGGGACATGCTATATTACAGTTCAGGAGGACTTAGATTTGAACTGGCGGAAGGCTGGGAAGTTGGGAGTACACCTGTCAGCAAAGCCTACTCTATATTGTTATTTGATTTTCAGCTCTATTTTTGAACGTAGGAGGTAGATGATGAACCTAGCTTTTTGGCGTATGCTCAGCAGGTGTCTCTGTCCCTATTGAATTTTCTCAGTAATTGGGCCTGTGAATTACACCTACACATGCATAGTATTGAGAGGGTTCTGGAATAGCAGTTGGCACAGTGGCAGAAAAAGTTGGGGATCAAATAAGCATTAGTCTAGAGGGATATGGAAGTCACGTAGGTGACAATGTGAAGTTCAGAATGGACATCCGTTGGCACCAGAGGTGGGGGGTGTCTCCAAACAGAGGGGGTTTCCAACCACAGAAACGACCTGGGTGTTGTTTGCTACATGCAAGGTAGAGGTGCAGACCATTCATGGTGAAACCACGCAGAAAGGGCAGGATGGCTGTTCTGAAACCACATGCTGGGTCATAGACTAAGCAGTAAGTGGAGCTCCAGCGGTCAGTGATTAGGACTGGATTTGGGATGAGGTAGAGACACCTATGTCATGGAAGCTCCTTTTATTCCACCCAGTCGTTTCAGGTCAAGATTGGGATTAGATACAGAACTGTGATAGCTCTGTCCCGAGGCCTGTGGTGAGGAAGGAGAACTGCAGAGACTTGGTCCCAGGGGACTTTGATTCGGTTGGGGATTCTGAATGGCAGCTCCTATCAGGAAAGACTGAGAGGCGAATCTCATTCCCAAGGAGGCCACAGCTGCACAGTGCCCTCCGCTGTTCCCACCTGAAGCCGGCCTTGGGACATAGTGGTCATTTGACCTACCTGAGATTTCCTCCAGATTATGTTTAATCCTTAAGTGCACTTAAAAAGTGACAGGGTTGCCAGGGCAGTGGTGGCACATGCCTTTAATCCCAGCCCTTAGGAGGCAGAGGCAAGGCAGATCTTTGTGAGTTTGAGGCTAGCCTGGTCTACAGAGCTAGTTCCAGGACAGCCAGAGATGTTATGCAGAGAAACCCTGTGGAAGAAAACAACGTAAACATAAATTCAGAGCACTGGAGGCACTCTGAAGATTAATTGGAGATCCGGAAAAGCAAAGGGGGTTCTCAGTTCCTTTTAGGATCCAGGAATCAGGACTTCACAGGTAGGGAACAGCCTTGATGCTATGTGATATACAGGCAATCCCACCTCATTACCTCCTCTGTAAATCAGGTTGAAATAGCACATTCCTCCCAGGATGGTTTCAGCATAAACAAAAGAATTCTCCTACAACAGTGGTTCTCAACTTTCCTAATGCTGGGACCCTTTAATACAGTTCTTCATGGTGTAGTGACTCCCAACCATCAAATTATTTTGTTGCTACTTCCTAACTGTGATTCTGCTTCTGTTATGAATTGTAATGTAAACATGTGATATGTTGACCCTAGAGGGGGCACAACCCTCAGGTTGAGAACCTCTGCTCTAGAATATTGCCTGGCTCAAGTTATCAAGAAATGTCAACCATTATTCTTTATGGTAACAAGTGTTCCGATCTCTGTCCAGATTGCATATTTCCCAGAGATGTCTAGCTTGCTGGGATGGAGAGGAGCTCCAAGAGAAGGAGGAACAGACATATCTGGAATGAAGCGACATCCTCTCCCAACCAGGAGCACTGCCTCATTTGGGAAACTAGCTGAGGCTCACAGCGGATGAGAAGGCTTTTTAAAAAAGCCAGCCTGCTAACTCAGATTTGACAATGACTAACTTTTTGTTCACCTTGTCAAGATTCACAATCCATCTGCAAGGCATTGCACAGTTTCCTTGGAGGACCCATGGCTGGCGGGCAGTCTCTGGAGTTGTCAGTCTCACTCCTCAGGCTGCCTTGTGGCTCTGGGCCCAGACATCCTCTCACTGAGGGGATCCTGGGTGTCTGGAGGACTCAGGTCAGATTCAGTGTTGGTGGTAGGGTTGGAGGTGAAATGTGAAGGATACTGTATCTACTTTGAAGTTTGCCCATGGTTAGTTTCCCCCAAATAGGAAAGGAACATTGGGAGTGTTCTGTATGCTTATTGTTTTAATCCCTGAGTAAAACAATCTAGCTTGTAGGATCTTTGCTTCTTCATTTGTAGGACAGACACAATGCTCTTACAGGTCTTACTATTTATATGTGCATGTCTTTATGACAGTTCCTTTTTAAACAACTGTAAATAAAGAAAATTTGGGTATTGTTTTAGAAATAAAAATATGATACATTTACTTTCCCTAACTTGCTCATGTATTTTGTCACTCAAGATGGGCTTTTCCGATGACAACACTACATGCTTGGATATCAGAAGTGTTGTCATCTCAGCTCATGGACTAAGTCTGGAAAGGTTGATCTGCCAGGTGCACTTGAAGTGCAAACCTGCAATGGTTTGGTAAATGGCATCCCCCTGGATTGGCCTTCAGACTCATGCCATCATTAGGACTAGAGATAGACTTAGTGTAGACCGACATGTTTTCCATTAAAGAAAATACTTAGTAAGTGTGAGGGCAAAGTGAACCCACTGAACTAGACCTCTTCTTGGTTAGAAAGAGAGGTTACTGGGTGATTAAACTGCCAAGGCTGTCTCTTGGGGACACAGACAGAAACAAGATGGTGGAAAAGCAAGCAGATTTTACATGACAGTTAGCAGGGTCCTTGAGCTGATACAGGCTTTTGGGATTGACTGGGAACTAGATGCCCTGGCCCAAGGAAGTTGACAGATTAAGGGAGATTCCTGGTGGTTTAAGGGAGGTTTAGGATATTGTCACCAGCACTGCTATTTTGGGAATTTCTTTGGACCCAACAGTAACTATCTCAGCAGGACTACAGCCAAAATTTTTAGTTTGGTTTAGAAACAAAACTGGTTTCAAACCAAAGGGTATTATAAAATTATGAACCATTCCCTACTGTTATCATTGAAACATTCTTTGAAGGGGGGCTGGAGAAATAGTTCAATGGATAAGGGCACTTGTCACCAAGCTTGACCACCTGGTTTTTATTTCCAGAACCTACATGGGGGAAGGAGAGAACCAACTCCAGCACGTTGTTCTCTGCCCCCCCCCCACCCCACATAATTAAAAATAAAAAGTATTTTAAGAAGGTCTTCAGTGAGGTATGGATTTAAGGTCTATATTTGTAAGGTTTCATGAATGTCAATGTATTGATTTACATTTCCTGAGTCCTGACTCCTGTTGCCATGGAAACAATTTTGACTTCGTTCAAAATAGAAATCCAGATATTTATGTAATTTAGGTCCAAATTTATTTAAATGACTTTAATTTGGTAAAATTATTCTTTTGTGATGGATCTGGAGTTTGCTTTGGGGAGTGATTGCTAAAGGTTGCCATTACTGTGAAGGGGGGTCACTGACATTGACAGAAAACTGCATAATAACCAGGAATGAGTGGGGTTGCTGAGAGAAGGTGCTGAACTGAGGGAGCTTCTAGGAAATTAAAATTTTTGTGTATATGTCTCTACATGTATATATATATATATGTATATATATATGTACATGTACACATATATGTTCATATGTATGTGAGTTCCTCTGTGTATGAATGCATATTTGTATATATATATGTATGTATGTATGTATGTATGTATGGTATATACCTGTATGTACATTTGTGTGTGTCTGTGTATGTTTGAATATATGTACCTATGTATATGTGTGCACCTGTGTATGCATGTGTATTTGTATGTATGTATGTGTATATATAGTATATACATGCATGCATGTGTTGTGGAATATTACTTGAAGATGTGTTACATTTGTTTGTTTATGCTGTGGAACATTTGTTTAATGATGCAAAGATGTGTGTGTTGTTTAATGTTGCATTTGTTTAACTCTGTGAAGTTGTGTTACTTTGCCTGTCAAAAACATCTTATTGGTCTAATAAAGAGTGGAATGTCCAACTGGAGAAAAGATAGGTGGGGCTGGTATGGAGAGGGGATAAATAGAAATAGAAGAAGAGGGGGGAAGAATGAGAGAAGGAGAGGGGGACTCCAGGGGTCAGCCACCCAGTTACATAGCAAGCCATGGAATAAGAAGAAAGGCATATAGAATAGAGAAAGATAAAAGCCCAGATGCAAAAGATACCTGGGATAATTTAAGAAAAGCTGGCTAGAAACAAGCCAAGCTAGAGCCTGGCATTCATAAGCAAGAATAAAACTCTGTGTATTTATTTGGGAGCTGGTGGCAGCCCCCCCCCCAAGAGGAAGAGCCAAAAGAGTAAAAAAACCCAGCAACTACATGTGTGTATGGGCATAAGTATGTCTATGTGTAGGTATATGTATGTATGTATGTATTATATATGTGCATGTGTACCCATGTGTCTATAACTATGCAAATGTGTGTATGCATATGTATATATAGGTATGCCTGTGTTTGCATGTATTTGTATTTATATGTGTATATATGTATATATGTACATGAAATGCGTAGTGCATGTATATAGATATGTGTGTATAATGTGTATGTATGGATGTTTATGTATGTAATTTTGTGTTTTCCTCCATGGCTTGGTTTATGCATATGCAATTTTCTGTGTTCATCAGATAGCACATATAAACAACAACAAAAAATCAGGTTGTATTCAAATTCATCAATAGTGTCTACCCATCTAGAACAAATTCTAATTTTTGAGAGCATTTTAGCTGAACTGACCTTATACCATGGCAGGGCACCCCAACACTACCACCACGTGCACTGAACACCAGTGGGAAAGCCTTGGAAACTTTGAGAGCCCCTGTCTTCTAGATATTCTAAATCAGTCAGCCTCTTAACAGCAGAAACAGAAACAGAATAAAAAAAACCTTAATAGAACAAAGAAAGAGAAATAAACTGTTGCTTAGTAATTTTAACTCAAATAAGTATTTATTGATTTCTTGGAAAATGCTCCAACTTTGAATGATACAAGTGAAGAAAAATAAAACAACATACTCCCTTTTGCTAGTCCCTGTTTTGTGACCAAACGTAAAAACTATGAAAAAAACTCAAAATGGGGTATGACAGGGTAAAACTGGGTCCAAACTGAGTTGTTGCACGAACACTTGCTGTAATAATTGTGTTGTGTATCAGAGAACACCCTAAGAAACTGATGTGGTAAGAAGTTCCTGGACACAATGGGGCCAGAGAGGGGGCAACCATGGAGCTAATGGCTGAAGAGGATATGAGTACAGTGGGAAGTGCTTGCTTTTGGCCGGGAGGAACATTAGGTCTCTTAAGGAAGGGAAGTGAGAATCAAGCAGACATCAGTATGCTAATACACACCACAGTTAGCCACTTGTCCTGAGTTTCTTTTGGACCTGACACTGGGAATTTCAGATTTCCTACCCTGTTGTTTTTTTCCTTGAATGAAATTGTCCTCAATGCCTCCTTCTAAGTCATTTTCTAAATTCTTTTATTAATGGGTCCAAGAATCCATGAAATGGAGCCTAAATTTTCCTGGTAACATTTGGTCTTGGTCTTATATGCCATAGGACAGATAGTGAAGAATACAGGACCAATTTCTGTTTTAGAGGAAAAAAAGTTGATTATATATAACTGTAATGGCTGTTCTTGGTTGTCAACTTGACTACATCTGGAATGAACTAAAACCCAACCAGCTGGGCACACCTGTGAGGGACTTTTTCTTAATTAAATAATTTGAAGTGGGAAGACCCACTTTTAATCTGGATTATTGTTATTATTATTTAATGTGGGAACATCTACCTTTAGTCTGGGCCATAACTTGCTAGCATCCTGTATAAGGGACACAGAAGAAGGAAACTTGCTGTCTTTGTTGCTTGCTCTTGCTCTCACTGGGAAATCCATTCCTTCTCTGGTATTAGAACCTATTTCTCCGGGATTCTGGCATATACTGAGGACCAGCTGAGACATCTAGCCTCATGGACTACACAACTACTGGACTCTTGGATCTTCATTCCATACGTTCTGTTCCTCTAGAGAACCCTGCTAGTACTTAACCAAGCAGAAAAATGTGGAGGGGCCAACAGGGTGGACTACAGGGGACATTTGTCAGGCGTGTGCTGCACAGACTTTTGGATAAGTATCCTGCTCTGACTCTATGCACAAGCTTTGGACAGAAATATCTCATCCCTGGTCAACCTAACTTGAAGGTCAACTTTTCTCCCAGGAGTTCCTCCTTCCGGACAATTATCATCTTTGTGCACAAGTTTGAGGTGGAGTAGATGTGGTTTCATTCCAACTCTTTAAAGCCAAATCCATTTTAACCAACCTGTGGAGGCTGGGAGATGTGTCATCATCTCCCATCTCTACATTTTATTTTTTTCTTTAAGAGGTGTGGTTCCAGGTTATCGGGGACAGATTTTACTCAATGTTTGGTTTCCACCCAGCTCTTCTAGAGATAGTGTAATGATCTGCCCAGGGAGTGGGGAACTGGTTTGCACAGACTCAGAATGCTAGACCAAATGGATAGCTCTCCTGAACAATGCAATCCAGGTGTGGTGCTCACACCCTGCTCAGATCCCATCGCTTCCTTGGAGAAGACCTGCTAGGATTTCATGTTCTCTGTGCTGGATATGATGAGTTGGCAACTAACAGATAGTAGCTGATAAACAAAGAATATTGAAACTCATTAATCAGGAGATGATCGGTTGTGTATGGAATGGTATCACTCTACTCTACATACAAAGGTGTCTTAAGACAGGGTCATAAATGGGATATGAGAAGCAAAGAGCAAACTGAACCTCTAAGCTTCTGGGACCAGGGATTTGGGGGGAGGGTAGGCGTCAATTAAGCAATACGAGCCAATGGCAAAGAAGCTAGGATTGGAGATATATAAATAAGCATGTTAAGTCTCTAATGGGGGACTTGGGGAAGCTAATTGATCTACTTGTGTCACCATTTTATTCTTCTATAAAACAAATATTCAGATGCCTTGTTGTAGTGTGGGAAGTGAAGAAGGTGATGGCTATCCCCCATCCTTGACTGAGTGCGGATGAGGGAAGAAGTGTTGGCTTTGGATAGCAAGTGAGATGGTAGTTGGAACGCTCTTTCTACTCTCTTCCCCCACCTCCCTTTTCATTGCTGGGGATTGAACCCTAGGTCATGCACATGCTGAGATATATTTGATCTACACCCCCAGTTCTAGCAGGGGGACTAGAGAAAGGAAATTGATGATTTCCATATAAGGAATTTTATTAGGCTCAAGGGCAAGAGCTAACG